CGTGTTGCTGGCTACAAAGTTCTCGACGATAGAATACAGCCTTTGCAACAACTACATTTATGTTGTAAGAACTGTTCAGCATTATGTGATTGCCAGGAAGAACAATACCTATTTATTCCCCCTGAATTTGAGAGAGATGCCCCCCTGTTATCTGAACTGTACAAAGTGCCAGACCTGACCAGACCTGTAATGTAGATATGTCAGATCTTAAAGGAGCACTTGATGAAATCAAGCATTCTCTCACACAAGGCAGTCATTTATTGGACAATTTTTCAGGACACTGTTTCTCACCTCATTTAGTGGATGATGTAGTCAAGAACTGTTCCAGAATATTTACCATAGGTGACATACTTGATACTTGCCCTGTATTCTCATTTGAAAATGCTATCAAAATACTGGAGGTGTTATTCAAGAAATTTTTTTGGACATCCCAAACTTTGATTACACAATGGAACTGCTTATAGGAAGCCAAAGCAAGGTAAGCAAGGAAACATATTTGTGGGAATTGGATGAAGCACTGAAGGATGTAAATGTACATAATGAATTGTCCTCAGACAGTGATGATGATCTTCCACATGTTTGACAGTTTTTGTTCCATGTAATATACTTGTACAGTCTATATTGATAAATGCAATGGACGGATTTTCTGGGGGGTGTAGTGGGGTGTGCACTGCAATAAAAATATTTTGCATTGGGATAAATTACAGTAGTGTGATTGAAATAAAGATTTTGAACTAGGTACAGTTATATACTAAAAACAATGATTTTGAACTGCATAAAAGGACCAAAAATTTCAATTTCCTGACCCCCATTAGTTACTGTGTCCCAGACCCCATGCTGCAGCTTGTTCTGTAGAAGGTATGCACCCTATCACTCACATCCCTCCCAAAATTTCCCCCACCCATCACTGAAAATCCGTCTATGATAAATGCTTAGGCGTAAAAACAATACCTGTGGTTCCGGTTTCATATCATGAAAAAATTAGGGTCAGTAGGTTGAAAATAAATTTTTTTAAAAATTTTTTTTTCATGGTTTTGGCGATTGTTTGCTGGGCGATTTACAGTAGAGTCCCGACATCAATATTAACTAGAGATGCATATTTCCTATGGACGAATTTAGGCAATTTGGTTCAATAATTAGTGTGACGACAGACGCCATTTTGGCACGCTGTACGAGCAGCCCACAACCACCTGGAGAAAAAATAGGGTCGCACTGTCATTCACGTTGAAAAAATAATAGGGTTGGCAGAAAAAATTAGGGTCGGTCGGGAACTGGAACCACAGGTATTTTTTTACGCCTTATGTCTTACTGTCATTACTGTATGGTAAAACCAAATGGAAAATTTTGGTTGTTTAATTAAGAACTTTACGCTTTTAAAGAATCCTCATCCAGGTTTAGAGTTGTGTCCAAATGCATATCATCATTACTACAGTTTAACATCTTTCCCTCTATTTCCATTACAAAAAGCAACATAGAATTGTTCTCTTCTATCTCCTTTTTCCATTTTTTGGCTGCATAATCGAAGTTTTCACCCATGTTCTCGTGCAGATTTATGACGCTATCGGAAGACATGCAAATTCCCAACCGATTCAAACGTTGTACATCCACATGACTAATTCCACTGTGAAATAAAACTGTGGAAATTCTATATGCAACTGCTGACATCGTCGGGTTAACAACCGTTGCAATAGCTGATGTAGCCAGAGCAATTGCATTAATTGTCGCAATTTCATTGCAACTCGAAGATGCTTTGCAAGCGCCTGTGACTACAGCATTATATATGGGACATTCCATTGACACTTCCTTGCAGAGGACCTTTCAAAATTACTGTAACACATAAATTCACGTTTTGTTCGAACACTTAGTTGAGATAGAAGTTCTTGTAACAATTCATTGTGACGAAACAGCTTATTTACAGCTGTACTCCAACAGGAAAGACAAATATTGATGAGTAGCAATTTCACTTCTGGGTCAAAGTTACTCTTTACAACTACAGGTCCTAAAGGATAGGCGATAACTACTTTTAATTGAGAATTCTTACTTGTGTCCAAATCGTCGATATTCAGTTTTGATAAAAGTGTGTCTTCATTGGATTGCTTATCTGCGTCTCTTTTACGATCGTGTTCGTTTGCACCGACAACAAGTAGACTTTTTCTTCTTGATGATTTTGTATTTGGAGAGAATTGCTGCGGATGTTTGTGAACAGGACTTGCCCTATTTGGTGTTATGGCTTCGGACACCTTTCTCTTTCCTGAATCTCTCGAAAATGTAGCCTGCACATCATGGTTGACTGCTGTCGAAAATAATTTATATGTACTAACCAGGTTTCGTAGTTTTCTTGCACACGGGCTGCAAGCTACTTGCGACGCTGATGGAGATTGTTCTATGTTTATTCCAACAGATTTCAATCTTTCCGCGATCACCTCCCCAAAACTTTCCTTTCTTTTACTTGGTTTAAATAAGTTTGTGTAGGATTTGAATGACAATTATGTTCTGTACGTTAAACGTAAAGACTTCTTACACACTCAACAACATTCGTTTTGATAAGATTCCGATTTCGGACGTCCCCTTTGGGGATTTATGTTTTCTTTATCCGACATGCATATTTTAATATATTATTTCATTTTGACAATTAGTATAAAATTTACAAACGTGAGCACTTAGCAGAGCAATCGATTATATATTTTATAATTCTGACAAGCAAATTTGCAAACGTAAACAATGTCTGTGATTGGCCAATTCTGACATCACTTGAAAGTGGGCGTAACCTGCAGGCTAAGTAGGCGGGAACGCATGGGGTTTCGTGCAGGCTCTCCTTTCCTTGGAGCTAGTCCACTGAGAGCCTGCTTCGCAGGCTAAGGGGCTCCTTATTAACTGTTAGTTGCATTTAAGGTGGCTCCATACAGTTTCTTGAAAAGTAGAAAACATTAGAAAACACATGTTTCTGATCTTAGTGTTCATTGATATTTTGTTAGAGGAATGAAACTAAATGGAATAGCATTTTGATTTTTGAGAGTAGGAAACTGCAACAAAAAATGTGTAACCATGGTTGCTACGGCAACAATGACGTTTCAAAATGCCTGCCAATTTGCATTAAAATGAATTTAATTGAAAAATTTTGGATCTACAGAATTTTTTAAAAATTGTCCTGATGATTGCTCATACTGGAAAAAAAACTTTTATAAAATAAAAATTGGGGGTCACCAACGTTGTTTTCGAATTAAACTAAGTTTAAATGCAAATTAGCAGCCATTGTTGCCATAGTGACCACAATTATGGACTTTTCTGTTTATACAGTTTCTGATTCGCAAAATACTGTTGTATATACATGACATCTGGTTTCATTCTTCTATAAAAATATCAATGTACAAAATGTTTTGGTCTGAAATGTGTCTTTTCCACTTTTCAAGAAACAGTATGGAGCAACCTTAAATTGATTTAATTCTAAGTTGTGTTGGCACCAAGGTATTAGCCTGTGTACCAAGATATAGTTCTATGACTATGGTTCTATGACTATATAGTTCTATCTCTGTGGTTCTATGACTTTACACCTGTAACATTATAACATTTTGCTACTAGGTGGTTTTTAGCCCGCATGCAGGCCCAAGGGAACTGATAGTGGGCCTGCATGCAAGGCCCGGTATTTTGTAAAACGCCCCTTTTTATGAAAATTGATGCCCCATTCGCGCATCAATTGTCAAAGAAGAACCAATGACAGCACCCAAATATTAACAAAGAAACCCGCATTAAAATTTAAAATGTTGTGGGGTTTTCTCTGTTTATTCAGAAAATTAACAATGTGTAAATGGCTGCGTTGTAACTCAAAAAAAGCAAGCAACACAGTCCGTAATTGCCAAATTTGCAAGTGCTCATTTTCAACTAAAATCGGAACAGGCAAATTAGGACGAATTTCAACAGAAAACCTGTCTCAAACTTCAAATTGTGAGGGAAGTTGTGCGACCACATTAGCATCTATAATGTGTGCTTCGCTGTCGCCATTGTTATAAATAAATTGTCTCACTTATCAGATCATGTGTGCAATTCTTGTTGGCGGCGGAAAGTACGAAATTTATTTCAGTTATTTCATTTGGTAAAGAACTCTACAAAAGAAGAGAGCGTTCAGAGTCCAGATCGTTTCGTTTCAAACGACAATTTAATACCGTCTTCTGTTTCGCTCTCTCAGCGAAGCCTTGTAAATCGCAAAGTGTTTTGAATAGGCTAACATGCAACTGCATCTCAACATCAACCAAAAGATAATTTTCTTGAGGAACATATAACGTATCAAGTCTGTTTGAAATTAATGAAACTCAAGTAGAGGTTACTATAGTTTACCCCAGACGTAATGTTGCTATTCCAACACCTCATGACAAGCAGTGCCCATTGGCATAACGGCAAAAACGTCTCTTCCAAGAACAGTCCATTCTTGTTCCATTTATAATCGAAAAAAGTGATCAATTTTCGAATTTTGAGGTTATTGAGAGCTTTTGTGATGAATCACTGACCTAATTAAGAATCCAACAGCCAATCAGAATGCCACGTTCATGGGCGAAAGTGGAAAGTACAAAATACCAGGCCTTGCTTGCAGGCCCACTATCAGTTCCCTTGGGCCCGCAGGTGGGCTAGGTGGTTTTACCAGTCGTTGATATGCACATCGTTTTAGGTAGCTTCATAATATCATTTTATCAGTCATTGTAGATAGTTTTGTTCGTCTTAGATTGTTTTATTGGCCATTTTAGATAGTTTTAGATCATTTTACTGCTTGTTGTAGGTCGTTTTGGATGGTTTTAGGTCGTTTTAGATGGTTTTAGGTGGTTTTAGGTCTTTTAGATGGTTTTAGGTCGTTTTAGATGGTTTTAGGTTGTTTTAGGTGATTCCTTGTTTTAGTAACTACGATAAAACCCAATTTAAAAGCTTTAGAAATCAAGTGCAGACTTTTTGAGAATTTGCACATGGCAAGCAAGCGCATTAATTCAATATGCTTATTTCAAACCACAATATGTCTGAAATGAGTTGTTATTTTAAGACTAAATTTATGAAAATAGATATAACAGTGATTTGGAATATCCAACTTATTTAGTGTAATTTAATACTCAAAGTACTCTTGCCAAATAGGGCACGTACGCGCACAGTAATTTAATCTGGTGTCATTTGAAAGTTGAAACATACTTCAGCTAAAATAACAACTCCGACAAGAAGACCAACAATGGGGTCACAAAAACAGTCGAAATTGTGCCAAATTTGCATAAACTGTTTGGCTAAAAAGATCACTTTAAACTACAATCCTTCGCAAAAATTATGAGACTACCCATGTGAAAGTATAATTTCCTCTCCCCTCCCCCCTACAGAGCAATGTTGCTCGTGATTGAGTTGAAATTGTGAAGCACAATGCTTGCAATAACAGTCAACATTGTTTTGAAGGGGGAGGAGGGGGGGGGGGGATGGACGAGCTCCTGATGGTAGGAATTTGCTGATTTTATAGATAAATATGCAAGTCTCAATATATTTTGTGAAGGATTGTAGATTCAACCAACGTTAATGCGTCGAATTTGGCGAGTGTGTGATAGCATATTTCTACTCAAAATTACCCTTAAAAATATCGTATTTGCTCACTTATATTCCGTGTTAATATTTCTCGTGATTTCCAAATTCTATTTTTGATAAAGTTTGGAGAAATCCTCATCTTTTTGGCTGAAAATCTTGCGCATGGTTCACAGAAGTACTTGACCCAAAAAAGTCACCACATTTGGGCCATTCCATTTATTAAGTGCACCCCCCCCCCCTATTGAGGGTTTTCAAAAAATATCCCCAGGATATTGCTTTGGTAATAGGGTATGTGGATTTCTCATTTTAACATTTCCCATGGATTTTCTAAACCTTTGTTAACCTATTGAGGGCAACATAATTTCTCCCCCTGGATTTTGTTCAATGGATATTTTGCATATGTTCTTTGAAATAGATTAATACATCCCCCCCCCCCCGTTAACAACTTTTTAGGTAAAAAAATTTCCGGACGAGTACGTTGCAATTGCTTTCCAGGTACTTTATGTCAATTTCTCATACCAAATTTCAGTACTTAGCCCAAAAAAACAAATAACATTAATGCTGCAAAACGTCTCGGGGGGATTTCTGGAGGGGCTCGTAAGATTTCTGGATTTCTCAAAGCCCCCCATACTCTGTGCCTATATGCTTGTATGTGATTTAACAGGCTACAATATATCAATATATCATATATTAATATTTACTTTTAATTGTAATTTTCACAGATTATTATATAGTCATTTAAAAAACAGTGCAATATAAAAAATACTAAAAAATCGATGTTATAACTTTTTGAATTTTTATCAAAATAGGCTAAAACCTTCAAACAGGATAGAACTCATTATCCTAATAATATGTATGATTAATTTGTATGAACGTTTCATGAAATTGTTATTTGTTACATTCAGAATTGATCAGAGGTCGAAAAACTTCAGTTTTAGTGTTCCAATGGCATATGCTCATTAATAGTAGGTACATTAGTAGGTACATCAGAATATCAATACCAGTTTTTCAAAATTTTTGTTCCTACTTTGTCATGCAATTTTGGAATTTCCCAACTAATTGCCAATAATATAACAGTCTAAAAAACACTTTTTAAGAATAATGAAAAGTTTCTGCCTACATGTATTCGAATAAAAAAGTTATATTGTGTCAAGCTTTAGGATGAAGTCTCTGGTAACCATCTGTTATAAATTACATTTACTGATAATTTTAGAGTTACCGTATT